ATGTCTTTGGGAATGCCAATGAAAAACGAGAAAAAAAAAAAAAAAAAAAAAAAAAAAAAAAAAAAAAAAAAAAAAAAAGAAAAAAGAAAAAAGAGAACAACAACAACAAACAAACCTTTTCAAATGTAAAAACAACAACAAACACAACTGACCGTTTCTGTGCTGATAATCAATTTGAGAGTCAAAAAATTCTCTTCAAAATGTTTTTAATTAAAAATTTGTTGAGACTTTCAATATATTTTTCCCGATTTCTCCTGTATTCGTTGAAAAAAAAACAAAAAAGAACCCACAGATTTCTCAAAGTTATTGCTTGTGCTGCTTTAGGAAAGAACGCGCGCTGGCAAAAATTGGCGCGAAAATGAATTATCGCGAAAGTTCCCGCCAAATCCACAGGAAACCCATCAGTATAAACCAAAAAGAACCAGTCGTATATTTTCAGAGACTACAAAAGACTTTTCTACGGTGGCCCGTTAGGGTCATGCGTGATATTTTTTGAACTTGTATGTGTTTTTTTTAATTATTAATTCGTGGTTTTCATTTTCGTTCTTGTCTTTTTGGGGGATGCTTTATTCAGTTCCGCTAAATGAAAAGCATGAACAATTAAATTCCAAACTCGAGATATCGACTTATAACCCAAGATATCGATTTATAACCCGAGATATCGATTTATAACCCGAGATGTTGACTTATATACTTTGATATCGATTTCCAAGAAATCCTTCTCACAAAAAAATGGATTCGGCCAGAGCCTCATTCTTCACTGCTGGCCAGAAGAAACGCAGACTCTGGGTATGAGATGGATTCACATATATTTAATGTCAACACTGGAAAACATTTGCTGGAAAAACATGCAGAAAAAAGTATGGGAAAATGTCATAGTATTGTTTTAACCTTTAGGTGATTGCATCCTCATCTCCCATAGTGCATTTTGGGCTTGGTATACAACATACAACGATCTTTTTTTGAAACATCAATGCACATGCTTAAACTGCCAAGATGTCAAAAGTACCTTCTCAGCTCCCTCCCCCAGGGACTTTTGACTGGTAACCAATCTTCCTCGACAAATCGACACGGACAGACAGACGTACAGTGACCAAGGGAAATAGAGGGACTTAGCTTACAGTCTACCTCATTACAGACAAAAACATCTCTAAACCTAGGTAAATGAGAATCAACTGATTCTTGAGTAAACACTTCAGAATATCTCAAGGTCATAGTCACTACAAGCAAGGTTTATTTTCAGTTATGTGTGGGAATCCACTATTTTTAACTCATACACTTTTTACTAAGTCATAATATTCTTCAAAGGACGAAAACAATTGTAATATAGTTTAAAAAACAAGCAAAATCAGAAAGCTTCCTGACAATCAATAATAGCGGAAAACATTTTATTACTTCTTTCCAAGAGGCATTCATATTTTTCACGTAACACTAACGAAAACACATAACCAAAGTAGCAATAGATTTTTTCTGCGGATTCATTAGTTTGAGTTTTGTAGAATAATAATATTTATTTATTTGCTATAAATGGTTTTTGTTGGTCACAAAAAATAATTTACAAATGACTACATCAATTCAAAATAAATTCCAAATAGATTGATACATTTTGAACAGTGATCGAAATTTGAAGTAAAAATAATAATAAAAACACTTAAACGATTTTTCAAAATAAAGCTAACTAAAATAAGATCAGAATCTTCGTATTATGAAAAGGAAAAAAAGCAATAGAAAAATTAATAATTTCAAAACAACTATTTTATTTTCAAAAACACCATTAAGAGGACCGGAAATGCTAGAAATTTTTTATGAATATTAATAACGAATTGGTTTGTTTTTGTTTCTCTGATTGATGAAAAAATATCTTATTCATGAGATGCATTTTGATTCATTTGTTTACAATCAGACTATCAATATAAATCCTCCACTCTCTCACTAACTATTAATTTAAACTTCCAAAACCGTGTACAGAGAACGTTCGAAAGATTTCAAAAATATAGATATAAAATCTTTCGTGAGCTACATTTTTTAAGAAAAAAAAAAACAACTTAAATTGCACTACAAAGTTACCAAAGAATAATAAAGTTATATTGACTTCCGATACGGAAACAAAAGCGAAAATGCAAATGTACTCAATTATCAATAATCATTCAGCCTTTTGAGGTCGAGATATTGTAATTACTTCAATGAAATTAAGTTCAAAACAAAAACAAAATAAACTACCGCCTGAAAATCTGTACATCTGTTTCACTGAATCACTGATGAACAAATATAGAATCGTGTATAGATAATCCTAGCACAAACATCCTTTCTCAAACAGTATTTTCTAAGTCGCAAGAGTAAATATTATGAATCCACTAATCGTATTCTCCTTTTTTCCCCGATCAACTCTTTAGAGCATGGATTTTTTTTACACTTAATAACAACATACTAAATGCTAATAATACAGCTCATTAACTCATCTCGAATGTCTTGCTGTTTCAAGAATGCGGCCACAGTCTTGTACCACATTACTCAAACTGGCTCTCCTTTATCTTCTGAAGAATTAACAATTTCCTTTGGGTCGTCTTGATTCTGTGTAACATCGATAGGGGGAGTAGCTTGTTCGTTTTCGTCGCTTCCTTGTGGTCGTATACAGCTGTAGTAATCCTTCTTAGAAAAGCCTGATTGAAAAGCTGGTTTTTCCTCTGCTTGCTCGTCTGGTTTCTCGTCTGGTTTTTCGTCTAGTTTCTCGGTTGCTTTATGAGGTTTAGGCAAAGTATGGGGAGGAACCTTGGCGGGTAATTTTTCGACAGGACTACTATCTGTACTGTCTTTGGCTTGTTGTGTTATTTCTACGTTTTCTTGTTGGACTGGAATTTCTTGTAAGGCATCAGGGTCGCTAGCACTTCCAGTAGATTCGGTCTTGGACCCAGAATTCTTTCTCTGTCTCGATAGCAAAGGAAAGTCGTCTGCCAAACTCGTTTGTTTTTTGAAGGGCTTCGGTTTGAAAGCATCTAAATGCGAAGCGCTGAATTTCTTCTGCAAGAAACGTGGTTTTCCATCGTTTCCTGCGTCACTTGGTAGACTATCGCTCGTGTCAGACCCGACAGATTCCCTCCTGTCTGTAGCACCAGTAGTATGATCAACCGAACGAGTCCTCTGTCTCGAGGAAGCAGAAGAATGACTAGAACTGCTTGGTGTATGGAGCTTAAACGGCATCGGAGCAGTACTTGTCGACGGAAACTTCCGAGGAAGAGAACTATGCCCAGGAAGTTTCCCAGTAGGGCTACTATAATCATCAGGCTTACTGCTTTTGTCATCTCCAACCACAGCTCCTTCACCAGTAGGTTTATCTGCAGGCATTTCAGCTGTAGATTTACTCTCTTGTGTTTCAAATCCTTCGTTCAAAGCGTCCTCTATTTCTCGTAGATCGTCTTTCTGCGCTTCGACGACTACAGCTGCCTGTGTTTTATCCTCGCTAGCCACAGTAAATTCCGTCTTCTCTGTCATTCCTTCGGATTCAAGCTCCGTAATGCGAGCTCTAAGCACTAGAACAAGCTCCTCAAGTCTCTGGTTTTCGGCTTTACAATCAGAGTACGACTTCTCCAAGGCTTTGTATCTCTCTGCAGCTTCTTCAACCTCCTGCCTCAGCTTTTGAATCTCATTTTCGTGTGCTTCACAATTGGCTGCCATTTCCGAGCTCTGTTGCTGATCCGAAACGCTGTTTGTTTGTTCGACCGTATCTCGTTCTTTTGTCAAATTTTCCCACAAAGCTTGAAGTCCAGCGTTCTTTTTTCGCAGGTCTTTACCTTCCTTCTTCGAGGTTTCTTTATCAACTGACCCTTCTAGGTTCATAGCCCCATTTGAGCCGTTTATAACCGCGTTCGAAGAGGGTTCCATGAAGCGATTTGAATCAACAGGTCTCTCTACGTACTCCAAAGCTGTTTCCTTTTCAGCGTCTATCATTGGAGAGACATTTTCGAGTTGAGAGTCACGCTCTCTATTCGTGTTCTCGTGTTTCAGAGGTTTTCCTGTCAACGTYACATCCTTCGAATTCTCTCCCGTCGTGGTCTCCTTTGGAGCTTCATGATCCTCAAGCGATTCGGCCATGTCGAATTCTCGTTGACACGCAACCCGCTCGTACAATGGTGTGACTAGATTTCCATGCTTCGTATTGTCAACATCATTCTTCTCGACCAATGAACCGTGGAGATATGGACTTTCTTGTACGAATTGTAAGTATTTACTTTCACATGCTTCTGATTCTTCTAATTTTCTAACGAGTATCTGTATTTGACCTTCTAGGACTACGCGTTTTGTCTTTTCTTCCTTCAGTAGACTCCGACAATTTTCGTATTTTTCGCAATACTCTTTTGAAATTACAGACAGCTGGGTTTCAAATAGCGACGTTTCTTTTTCGCGACATGATCTCGCTTCAACTGCTAATGCCTTCCATTTGTTTAGCTCCAGTATTGCATTTTCGCTTCGCTTTTTGTAAAAAGCAAGTAGAATGTGTAGTTCGTGATGTAGGTCAGGTATTGAAGAAAAATCTCGTGTGGTAACGTCTTTTTTAAACGTCTCTTCGTTCTTACTACTTTGTTTGTATTTATTTAGGATTTGACGGATTTTATCTTCATGAGATTCGTTAATCTTTTGTAAATAAGCAATAGTAATGTCACGCTCTGCAACTTCACCGTGACATGCTCTTAAACGTAACTCACATTCCCAGCATGCTTCATGCCCTTCTTCTACATTAAAGTCACTTTTCTCTTCTTCATGGATACTTTCTTTCTCAAAGTCGATCAAACATTGGTCATACTTTGATTGCCAGTGATGCACAGCTTCTTCAAGCTTGTAAATCTCTTCCTGTGAATGACGCCTTGATTTTTCATACAGTTGTTTACACTGTCTTACTTGATTATCTCTTTCGTTCAACGTTTTCTTCAGCTCCGTAACCTGTTGTCGTAATGCTGTATTCATTCTTTCACCTTCCAAAATATCGTTTTCAGCGTTTTGAAGACGTTCAAATATTACTTCTTTTTCTCGACTGAGAACTTGGAATTTTTTCTGTAATTCACTACCTCCATCTGATGTTTCGAAATTGCATTCCATCAGTTCTTCCGCTTCACTCACAGAACTCTTTCTTCTATTCGTATTATTTCTTCCATTTTCACGCCTAGTGTGTCGATTCCGATGATTGTAGAACTCCAAACTAGCCTCCAATTCAGCGTWTTTTGTTTGCAGCTTGTAAACCTGTCCAACAGCTTCTCTTCTCTTCCTTTCTAAGATTTCTTGATTCTGTTCGAGCTCTGATACCTTCCGCAACGCTGCCATATTATCTTTCTCTATCTCCAAAGCGACCTGTTTTATGCTTTGAATTTGCTTCCCTAAATACGCCTCTCTATTCACAAGATTTAAATTCTTTACTTCTAATCTACTAATAGCCTTGCAAGCCTCCAGGTACTCGTCTCGTCTTTTCTTGTTTAGCTTCTCAGCTTCTTGATTCATTCATTACCTGTAGTCGTTCGGCCTTCCTATTGGCTACGCGAATATCTTGTTCCAAACTAGCGGTTTTCTCGTGGTAAAACAAAATATCATCTTGGTAAGCTTTTTCTTGCTGTCCTCTTCTCTCGCATAAAGTTTTGAGTGCTGCAATCTTCTTATCAGCTTGTCTTAGTTCGTGCTTTGCATTGACGACACAGTTTTTCTCCATGAGATCTTATTCCGCTTCAGCGGATAATTCCTAATCACTTTCGCAACATCCTTCCAGAAGCCAGACTTCAAACCCTCAACCACGAAACATTATTCGGGGAAAAATTTAAATATCTAAGTTCTAGCCCCTTTTGTCCAAGCTTTAGAGTTTAAATTAAGAAAATGAAAAGATATTTATATCCAGAATGATATATAGACTTAGAAGAATAAAAAACGCTGTTGAAATTGAACATAAAAAAAAATTTTTTTTCACAACTCGAGAAGAAAGGATGAGAAAGACTGTTTTGCAAGAAAGATAAGCCCATCCAAAAACAATGATAACTGATACAGGAAAAAAAAATTATTATTAAAGGAACTAAACTATTTATCGATTAATTATTTATTTCAATTCTATTGAAGATAAATGAGTTTTTTTGGGGGGTCAATCAGTTGAAACCGCACCAATGCTTTGTGAATGAATTAATGGATGCATAAATGATGACGAAAGCTGTTTAGGAAGGATGTAAAAAAATTTCACTCTTAAAATGCCCTTTTTTTGCATTATTTTTTTAACCTAAATCCTCCACGTTGACACCCTTCTTGTTATTTTTGTCCTAGCTGTATATTTTTTTAGCAGAAAAAAGTTATAATAATTATAATAACAAATTTTACAATCATTACTCCCTATTAGGGGCTCTTCACGGTGATGCTTGCTCCACACACACTACCACTACATTCTACATATTAAAACACTCAACACCTGCCTCACATATTGATTTTTACGGAAACTCTAAACGTATTAACACTAAACTAAAATCACGAGTAAAAAATTGAAATTTAACATTTTGAACCAATATTGGTATATATCATAGGTTGGTCATTCAAAATAAAAATTTCATTTATCTCAGATAAATTAACAACAGATTTCTTTTAACTGTCGTTAATTAACTCCATTCTTTTCCTTTTTTTCTATTTTCCTTACGTAAATTTCTAATACAAATTCACAAAAAATCTTAGATTTTCATTACAATGCTCAGTTATTTTAAGAATTGTCAAATCTCAAAATATAATTTATTACACACAATCTCAAAATAAACTATTTTATAAAAAGTTAATAGATTTTGGGTGTTTAGCGTAGAAAGTGCAAAAAGAAGGAATATTTTAGATCATTGAAAACTTTTGCAGATTTGTTAAAAAAAAATGAAATGGAAAGATTTATTATTTATGGAAAGCAGACAGACTGATTGAGAGAATTAATTTACAAAAGCTTCAATAACAAGAAGAAAGACAGATGGCTTGAAGTAATTATTAAAATGAATGAAGAAGTCAATCAAAATGGAAAGAATACCTCTATGGATTTCAAAAGATGCTAAATATAGACACTGAATGTAACATTGCATGCCATATTGCAGGTTATATTGCTTAAGTAGAATCGTTGTCTACCACAGCAACATTGCTTGCAACAATTTGCAACATGTGACTTGGCTTGCAACATAGATTGCCTGCAACATTAGTTGCAATGTTGCATCATGTTTCCGTAGCTTTAAGATTAACTGCAGCTGTAACATTTCATGAAATTACTTTTATTTTTTAGCAAGAGTAAATTATCATTATTATGACTACCACAATTACCACCTTCATCATCATTAATACCACAATCTACACCATCACCACCATCATCATAAGGGACAAGACTAAAACAGTAGTCTAAAACAGAGAACCGACTTTATAGATTAGATGATGTGCACTGCTAAATAACTCCTGGTAGGGTTCCAGGTAACCGCCCTCCCCTACCCTACCCTCTTGTCACATAAGAAGAAAATTGTTTTCACCTTATGACTGATAATACTTTGTTTTCTATGTCAATTCTGCATGCTAATTATGATTGGCTGTATTTTTGAACACAGCCAATTGAAGGCTAGCCTCCTTCGCAGCCCCTGTGAGGTGCTTCTGGTTCTGCGAAGGTGACTAATCGAAGGCAAGATAAGGAATAAAATGTAAAGTAGAAATGATGAATCAATTAAATAATTTTCTACTTACCTGCTCCAAGTTTCATAGCAGTGTCAATATCCTTGGCTGTAGCATCCCCTGAGATCAACATGGAATAAAAATAAATGGAAGTCATGATGAATAAGATCTAAAAAAGTAAGGTGGGCATACTGTTTATAGACATCCAGGTGGTGATGAAAATTGTTACTAAATCTGTGAATATAATGGGAAACTCTGAAGATGAATTGAGTATGCATGTATATTGGCAGCAAAACCAATAGTGAGTAAAGATATACATGTACTATTCTTTCCAATTGTCCCATACACAAGGATGGATCCAGGAGGGGGGGGGAGGCAAAAAAAAGAAAAAAAAAACAAACAAAACTGAAGAATTAGATGCTTTTTTTATTGTTTTCTGTTGTGTTGATGAAAGAAACTCAATTAGCCCCCCCTAAACTCAATTAGCCCCCCCTAAAAGTTTGGCTGGATGCGCCCTTGATACACCTAATCAAAATATGGAGACCAATTTGAATAACACTATTGTTCTGCACTGACTAGCGACTAACTAGCCTCTCATACATGTGAAAACACTTTTGTTTCCACGTGAACACGAGGCTAGTCAGTCAGTAGGCAGTGCAGAACAATAGTTATTCAAATTGGTCATCATATTTCAGTGTACAAAGCTCTTTGAAGGGCAGAATGCCACTAATGTTTTATACCTCGTTCCAACATCCTGACTGCCTCAGCCATGTAAGGCACGAGAAGACGATTGACTACAAATCCTGGTGTATCCTGAGATAATAAAATGCAAAAAGAAAAACCTGATTATGATTATATTTTATTTAGTTTCACCTAATTCCAATAATGTTGTCATATAAAAATGAAAATAAAAAATAGGAATTTTTGAGAGAGTAACTATTATTAACTAATATTTTATTATTATAACTATTATTATTATTGAGAATAACTGTTTTAAAGTATACCATCAAGATAATATCAAAAATGCCAGTCTATATGTCAATCAATACCTTCAAAACAGTAAAATAATTACAACAGTTTTGCTTCAAAAATACACCACCCTTGAAAATCCCCTCTCAAGGGAAGTCTATGAGCCGAGTCTAGGAATCAAACCTAAGACTCTAGAGGTGAGTGCAATTCCACTACATCACCCTTGAAAATCCCCTCTCAAGGGAAGTCTATGAGCCGAGTCCAGGAATCAAACCTAAGACTCTAGAGGTGAGTGCAATTCCACTACACCACCCTTGAAAATCCCCTCTCAAGGGAAGTCTATGAGCCGAGTCCAGGAATCAAACCTAAGACTCTAGAGGTGAGTGCACTACGGCTACACCACCCTTGAAAATCCCCTCTCAAGGGAAGTCTATGAGCTGAGTCCAGGAGTCAAACCTAAGACTCTAGAGGTGAGTGCAATTCCACTACACCACCCTTGAAAATCCCCTCTCAAGGGAAGTCTATGAGCTGAGTCCAGGAGTCAAACCTAAGACTCTAGAGGTGAGTGCACTACGGCTACACCACCCTTGAAAATCCCCTCTCAAGGGAAGTCTATGAGCCAAGTCTAGGAATCAAACCTAAGACTCTAGAGGTGAGAGGCGAGTGCACTACCACTACACCACCCTTGAAAATCCCCTCTCATGGGAAGTCTATGAGCCAAGTCTAGGAATCAAACCTAAGACCCCAGAAAAGAGTGCACTACGGCTACACAATCCCCTCTCAAAAGAAGTCTATGAGCCAAGTCTAGGAATCAAACCTAAGACTCTAGAGGTGAGAGGCGAGTGCACTACCACTACACCACCCTTGAAAATCCCCTCTCAAGGGAAGTCTATGAGCTAAGTCTAGGAATCAAACCTAAGACCCCAGAGGTGAGTGAACTTTGGCTACATCACCCTTGAAAATCCCCTCCCATATTATGGTTGAGTCTATCATATACAAACCTTGCATGTGACAGGAACTTTTCCGAGGCTCTTACTGAACTGGAATAGTGCATCAAATGTCTCATTTGAAGTCTCTGGAATACGAATAACCTGGAATACAAATTATCAATCAGATTATTAACAAATTGGCAATAATTGATTTGGAATCGAAAACACAACAGAAATCAGTCACCCAGGATAAGTAATATACAGTATTTGTGTCCGTGTTGTATCCAATATACCAACTCTCTGGTACGCCTTGACTTTGTATATCTGATACAACACAACCACTTATACTGTATATGTTACTAATAATAAATTAGTGATGTCTGATCTGTATCCTTGGGCTTTCAATTATAAATTCTAAACACAAGATTGGCACATTTGATGTTGTTTGTCTATGGTACCTCTACAAGTTTCATCAATGGAACTGGATTGAAGAAATGTAATCCTCCAAATCTATCCTTTCTGGCAGTAACCTGTGCAATATCGCCGACGGGAAGAGATGACGTGTTGGTTGCAAAGAGGGTGTTGCTGTGAATGAAAATGGACTTAGACTTTATTTATTCACACACAATTATTTATTCACAAAAATATATTAAACAAAAGAAGGTGAGAAATTCAGGATAAAATCGCATGCACACTGGAAAGGATCCTTAAACTACAGACTGACTTATAAAAGTGAGAATCGAAAAACCGTGGGCCCTAGAAATATTCTAGGAATGTTCTATTCTTCTTTGGCCAATTCAGATTGGCTTTCTGACCAGAAAATAACAAAAAGATAACAACGCTTCTGATTGGCTATTGAAAATTCTTGAAATATTTCTAGGTGCCCACGGTTTTTCGATAACACTGTAATACTATTACGAAAAGTGAAAAGGTGTGTGTGTGGTTGTTGAAGTAACAAATTTTATTTATAATCGCTGTTGTTTTATGGATGGCAAGGGTGCTGGCGTAATTGGGTTGAGTACCACACTCCATTCACTAATGCAGCACAGTTTTTAGAGGGCGTGGAGGGCTTAAAGTAATGGCCAGTTCTCCTTCAGACAGTGTCCAGCCAAAACTAGGAATATTTGTGTCTGGTCAAACCTTTGCTTTGCCCGTCATTTTGACCAGCAATGCTGATTCAGAAAAGAGGTATAACAAAGCTGTAAACTATTTTTGCCTGCTCATCATGACTGGCGTCCAACCCTGGCCATTATCTTAAGTCCTGGTATAAGGCTAGTCTCCTTGAAGTGGATTATAAGAGAATGGAATGAGACTTAAAACAGTTGCTAAGGAGACTAGTATAAAGCAAGATAATAATAATAAGATTGTTAAAGATATGATAATATGATTCATGAGACATGAGAAATTATTAATAGCAAAGTTTGCGCTGACATCACCTACTGTTACTTATTTGCAAACCAGAGATCTACTGGTTAAGAAAGAAAATTAGAATGATCTTTTGCAATGGTTGGCAAATTTGAATGAGAAAAGAATCCTGACGTCAGAGTTTGTTAACAGTGAATATTGAATAAGGTAATCTGCATTAATACCATCTAGCTCATGATTCCTGGTTAACAACACATCTGCAATAGTCTTACCTTGGAGCAGCCTCATCAAGTGCAGTAAACAGCTTGTGCTTTACTTTCATATTCTCAACAATTGCTTCAATCACCAGGTCACTGTCAGCCACGGATCCAGTAGTGTCTAATGAGATCTTGATGCGTGACAGAGTTTCACCTACAAATTTCTTTCCATCCTTCAAACACAAACACAGTTCTTTGAATCAGCTCAGAAGTTAATAGCTAATCCAAGTCAAGTGTGACCAGTAAATTATTCTGAGAAGTCAAATGTAGATTTCAAGACTTCATGTTTAGTTTCAAATGTGTAGTTCCAGAAATTATCCACACCCAACCCACAGAGGAATTTGCAATTTCCGAAGGGTGGGGGGGGTCAGAGAAAGAACAAAAATTACAGAGTTTGTATGGAAGAAAATTGGAATTTCTGAGTGTAGGGGGGGTGTCTAAAAAAATTCCTTGGGGGGGGGGGGGGGAGTATGGATTATTTTTGGAACTACACAATCTCCAATCAACCACTCCAATATTTCAAAAAACATTCAGTAAAGAATTAGGTTTTGAACCAGCTATCAGGAATGGTTGTGAAATATCATCAAAAAGAATTCACTTCCCAACCACTTCGCTGAGATACTATTCACAATGTGAATTTGCCGTAAACTGATATGCCTCCATATGTAACACAGCATTAGCTTGGAAGTTATTTCTGGGTTCAATGAAATTGAAGTTACAATAAGAAGCATGTGAACCTAATAATAATAATAATAATAATAATAATAATAATAATGATGAAAACTTTATTTTTAACATTTTTACAGCAATTATAAATCTCTCTACTCAAAGCCAATTTACAATTGACTACTCGAATATGA